TATTCCCTCCCACGGTTTTGGTACAACTTGAGTAATATTATAATATTGATGATAGTGGGGGTGAGGTGTTGTTGGATTGGACTTCCACATTTACCAAAACAAGAGGTTGGGTATAAGAATTATTGGACTTCCATATTTTCTATTTTCCATTTAAAAATTTCTTTCAAAACTGTTGTCAAATATTAATTTTCATTAAACACAAGATTGAGGGTAAAATGGTAATTTTATGTCATTCAGACTGTTGATTCAGAACAGCTTCCAAATAACCTTTTTCTATCTGACACTAAATCATACAGAGTCTCTTAATCATTCTGACCACTTAATCATACTGCACTAAACCATTTAGCAACTGCCAAACAGCCCTTAGTCTATGTGGTATACATGCTAAAAATACGTTGGTAATATTCCAACGACCCACAATCCGTTGCCAATTGCTATTAGAACAAGATTTTGAGTATTTAACAATGGATTTCGATAGTTGTTATTGGCAACATTTCTAGTAGTGATAGCAAATGACCTAAAAAGTTGATCACTTGGTTATTAGTTCTATGCGCGGAACAAATGGGTTTAATGAATATAAGTTTAATAGTGAAGACACTCTAAGGGGTATTATGAAACAAAATGGACGAAACACTCTTGTTGCATCAATGAAAACAAAAGCCAACTCTAATATTGCAGTTACGAGCCACTTGAATAAGTATGAGAAGCAAGCCACCTATCCATCATGGCAAAAGCTTCTTTAGGCTTGTACAATGCCACTGAATGACCCGCACCCTGCAAAGCACAAATGATTCATTAAATGTTCGATCCATTGTCATTTTATTTATACATACTATAAGAAATTGAGTATTTTAGAACACCCAACCGTCCCTAGATCTCCTAGTAGAGTACTTACATGACTTTATTTTTATAAGATAAAAAATTATACGTTCTATACCGAAACATTAAAGATAAGTTGTTAGTACAAAGTTAAAGCTAACTAGTACTATTAGTGACATTGGATAACCTCATACGACTCATAAAGTGAATAATCATATTAACTTTTCTTGGAGAAGGGGACAAAACCATCATATCAACTTTTTATATAACACTTTTGATATGTTTTTGTTTGCCTCTTCTATAGGACTTGCTATACATAATAAACACACTCACAATACATACACGCACATATATATATATATATATATAGAGAGAGAGAGAGAGAGAGAGAGGAGTCTCCTTTTACAAACTCAATAATTCATACATATTTACAAACCAACTTTCATGTATATATGAAAATTGGTTTATAAATTTGTATGATTTTATTTGAGTTTGTAGATGATTGGGGGATATATATATATATATATATATATATGAGAACAATGAAAATCAATATGGTCTATTCTTTCACATGGAAACTCATGGACATGTATTGTTTTACACATGAATTAATATATTGTCTTGTTTCACATGTGAAACTACATATGCATGTTTAATAGTTCTCATAGGTTTCCAACATATCTTAGGTTCTCATTTGACTTTACCCTCCACACACATGTACATGTACATATATGTGTATAACTTTTCAAGTGTCATCTAGAAAAACTAATATGATTATTTATTTCTTATGTTATATCAGGTTGTCTAACTTCGTTCATATAACTTGTTGAGCCGCCTAACTTCGTTGTACCAACTTACTATTATAAGACTCAACAACTTTTTGTCCTATGAAAGAAAAATCTCCTTAATTTATAAATCCTCTATCGTAAGGCACCTAAAGATGGTTGGAAGTCCGAAAAGACACATTTTTGTAACGCCAATATAAGTGATTCCTTATGGTCTGTTAATAAACGGTTCATTTTTTGAAAAAAGTTGGATCATACATTCTCAAGTCACTCATGATAATGAATACTCGACTTATAACATAAGTATAATTTTCCTCAACAAGAAAATATAAAGAATTCAAACAAGTACCGACATGTTTCTTACCTTAATAGTTGCAAATTTTAACGAGTATTGACTTTGAGCATATGTCATTTGATATCTACAAAAGCAAAGAGCAACCATATATAGTTTTAATGATGTATGCTAATTTATATACGACACAAAACGGATTCAGAAAAATCGATTTTAAACAGATTAGGAAATAAATGTAGTAATAACAAAGGTAATTGAAGTTGCTCACCCTGCAACTTGCTTACTAACAAACCATGGTTCCCATGGGCTTTCAATCGAAAGATTAAGACTTGAAATCCATTTCTCTTGGCCAACGCATGGAAATGTCATGTCATGGTCACCGCTGATCAATCAAAATTTTTACATAAAATTATATATATGAGTTCAAAGTTCAAACTACGAAGAAAATAAAAATTGGAAACGATGAAATGATGATTATATATATTATCTGAAAGTACCAAATGATCAAAACTTGACAGCTCTTGGTAAGAAGTTGTTGATGGTCTGCGATGCTGCTGAAGACGTCGTAGGAGTAATATATAGTGTCTTCTTTATCTAAATTGTAACGGATACTTGTGTTTGTGAATTCCCACTTTTCGATTATTCCCTGCACATAAAAATCTACCTTCTAAGAGTGTTGAAACATATGGAATTGAAATAAGGGACACTTTTCAATTGCAGTACTATGTGGTCACAATTTAAGAGAATATCTAAATTTCTGGTGTAGATTATTCAATCACTTGTCTTTATAGTAATCGTTTTCCTAACAAGCATAAATGTGCATCCTTTATTATAATGTGTCCAACAGTAATTATAAAGAATATCCCATATGTTAAGTTTACCTACTTTCATTGGGTTTTTCCAAAGAAACAAATGAGTCAAGTTGTTCCCATCGACATTGAGTAAATAGTGTCGTAAGTTATGAAGTCAATGTGAATAGCGTACCTCACGAACGTTGAGAGCTTCCTGAACGTCTTTATTGTTTGCCCAAGCGTCTATAAATATGTTAGCAGCTTCCTAAACAAATTAAGACAATGGTAATGTTTTTCTTAATTGATAATTCATAAATATTTGTCGATCTATACACGTTTGAGAAAGAAAATTACTCGACAAGTTGGCTTCATATTTGTTTCATCACATAGTGGATCCAATATATTCGAGAAGTTAATCCCGTTTGTGCACTGCAGTTGGGAATTTGTATTAAAATTCTGCTACATTAAAATCCCATCAAGGTCTTTACAGAATGATTTGTATGTACCTCATCGACGTGTTCAAGATTACTCGAACATAAGGTGTTTTCAGGATCATTGTCTATATAGTTCCCATGACAAGTTTCTTTTGTAGCCTGAAATATAAAATTTAACAGAGTGACGGAATATATTTGACTCATATTCAATTCAAAGTTAATCTGTAAGGAGTTTGATATGAATATGTTTGATTACCTGATAGATATCATCTGATATAAGTGCAAGACGATGAGCTGCCTCAATTCTTGAATTGAAATCAATGAACTTGTCAGTGAGAGGGCTAACAAGCAGGCATCCCTGTGTAAAGCATTGGTTAATTTGAAGTTTGCATCATCAAGCACTACAACAATTAATAGAGAAATTAATGAGACTTTAGTTTTATTAGATCAAAAATTACAATAAGGAAAACAACCTAATATGATATGAGAAGCATACAAAATAAATCATCTTATTTATTTTCTATAGTATTAATTTATGATGAATATTCTATTATGTCATGACATTAATCATGAATATTTTATAACGTTATTTATCATGAATACTCATAAAAAAGGGGTTTCTGAGTTCCTAAAATATTTAAGGTTCTTAAATAAACTTCCCTCTCATGTATAATAATATATTTAAGTAAAAGTTTTAAGATTACATATTGAGCTTTAAGTTCTATTTAATAATATGTAATCCCTTAAGTTTATAAGTAACTAACACATATACTATTAGATTTGTAAATCCCTTTAAACTAATTAATATCCATCTCATAAGCACGTTCAAATACAAAATAATCATTGAAAGTAACAAAGTGCTCAACCATTATCTTTACTTAAAAAAAACCTTGTCATGAAAATTAAAATAAATACATCTCTCTTTTTGAATTTAAAATATTTAAACTATAATAAAGTTTTGAATTAAACAAAGTAAACCATTTTTTTAATCTTTTATACCCATATTGATATTTTTTCTTCTAGTTCTTTTATCGAGTTTTCAGATTAGAAAAATATGTTAAATCCGGATTTTTGTTTTTTTATGACAAATCTCATTACTTTTTTATTCTCAATTTACAAAAAGATATTGCATGGATACACAACAACTAGAACCACCCGAACTTAAATTTCTAGCTTCGTGCTGCATTAAGTACTTTATTAGGATGCATGAGCATCTTAAAAAACCCATTTTGTTTGTTGAAGTAAAAAGATATATCATGCTTCAACAAACTTTTACCCATGAATCCTAGTTTTGGATCAAAAATTTAATTGACTTGGTTACTTTGCTTGTTAAAGGCAAAAATATAGAATGTTTATACTCTATGGCAACGTGTATTCGTGTAGCCCTCTCTCAACACCTTGTAACATTCTGTGTATGTCTAGCATTCATTGGAGGGACATGTTAGAGTGTCACATCAGCTAGACTTGAGACATTTAATCACTATATGTACATGAAACAACCATAATAATTTAGCAATAACGTTAAAGAGTTTAGTAAGATGTTTACTTTGATGTTGAGTTGTGGTTGACTTCCACGCTCATTGTCTACAAAATTAGAGAAAATGGTAAATAGAATGTTATAAACGTCAAGCGTTTTTTTATCGAGGGATCAATGTACGATTCGCACATGAAAGGTGCATCTTCTTATTAGAATAGAAGTTCTTACCATTGTATATCTCCAAAGCTACATTTGGTACGATGATACCCATGTATGAAATCCCAGATATGTACAGTGGATTACTCAAAAACCTGGGGTTCTCAATAAGCCACTGCATATATATATATATATATATATATATTAAGGTATCAGTTTAAGGAGATTGATGCATGAATTTATGTCATTTTCAAACAAAAATTCGACGAAGCAGTATATAATTTGTCTTACCTTTCTTAGAAATTTGTAACTGTGTAAAGTTACAATGGAATCACTACTCCTTGATGCTTCCCATGTTTTAGCATACGAAAACCCGACACCAACAGGTAGATCTACGAATATCACATTAACAGCCTACAAAATTATTTGACTTTGCATTATACATACAATAAACATGTATATAAATATTTTAGGTAATGAAAATTATAAACGAGAGATAAATGGGAATATGTGAACCTTTGACCATGAATTTGGATTCAACTCCAATGTAATGTTATTCTTCCATGAACTTTCAAAATTGAAACTTAATGGACCTACAAAAATATAAATTCATACCAATGTTAGTTGGTCAATCCATTTTCAATATTAGTAAGTCACAGGTAATGTCGGATTAGGCTTAATGCTAGTAGATATGTTAACAAATAACAATTACTAATATAAATTGCTATTACCGATGGATTTCAAAGGTAAATTAAAGTTGAAATCGTATAAATGTCCATCAATGATAGATGCAAGAAAAAAGGTTCAATTTTTGCGCTAACATATTCCTTCATCGAACACACAGTTGAGCTCGATCAAGCATCGAGCTCCTACCATCTTCAACTTAAGGTTAATGCATATATCAAGCCCTATGGCTATGATCAAGCTCCAATCGAGCAAATAGATTCGGGGAGACCTAGAAGTATGCAAAAAAATGCAGATTCAAGAAAATAGAAAAGAAAAACAAGAAAACGCAGAATGATAGTCACTCGAAATAGTATATAAGTAATCGATTGATTTTTCAAAAAGGGTGGTGCCCATTGACCTCTCACCTGTTAACCAGCTATAGTTGCACTGTTTATTTGAAACAAATATATGTTAATTAATACCTTAAGTTCTAGCATACAATAAAAAAATCATGTGAAATAATACTTTAAAATACAAATTCTCTTTAGTTATCACAATATTTGGGTTTCTCATTGATTAWGCCTTCACATATATATGATCAAGTAGTATTTTTTTTAAATTAAATCTGATTAACTATTGTATCACATTTGATAACTTGTATTCATACGTTTTCGTAAACTGATGTTGTTCTCGTTTAAATTCACGCTTATATATATATATATATAGAGAGAGAGAGAGAGAGAGAGAGAGAGTATTTATCAATTGAATATGATAAATACTTTGAGAAATTGGGAACCAATAATAATTGAAATACAAGATATTCATAATAAAAATGCATAAGGTGATTGATTAGGCATGGTCCCAACCCTCTTCACCGACCCTGTTCAAGGCCGGGGATTCCCCAAAACATGTCCGAGGGCCGGAGCCCGGTAAGGTATTCCCAAACCCGTCCCATCCTAATATATATATATATATATATATATCTAAAATTATATTCTTTAATATATATTATATTTTCAACTATTTTGATTAATTTTTTGAACCACATTCTGTTAAATCGGGGATATACCGAGGACAGGCCCAACAAAAACAGAGGGAGAGGGTTTGATTTCCCGTACCCTCCCAGGCTGGGGATGAAGTAGTGGAACGGTGGCCGGGGCGAGGATTGAATTTCCCGCCCTATTGCCAATACCATGCCATGCCAATTATGTATATGTTGGGTATATATAAAAAAGAAAATTACCAATTTGATAGAGGAATGGATAAAGTCCAGAAGTGCCGGGGCCACCGGTGAGATAAAGAAGAAGAGGGTCTTCGGTCGGGTTTCTTTCAGATTCAACAAAGTAGTAGAAAACTTGGACCGCATCATCTTCTCCCACCCCAACATATCTTTCGACATAAAAACAAAACCAAAAACAAGCTTCTTCCGTTATAACGTTTTTGGAAAACAAGATCGACTAACATAAATGAATGCGTACCCAGTTTCGAGAGTGAAAGGAAGATGACCATCAAATCCTGGGAGATCCTTAACGATTGACTTTGAGTTTGAGAAAGTTATGAAATGTAGAAAGATGATAAAGAAGGAAAGCGTTATGTATTTCGACTCCATCAAATCTCAAGTTTCCAGGATGCTTCATAGTAGTAGTAGTAGGTGTTGCAATATATATATATATATATATATATATATATATATATATATATATATATATATATAAATTAATGAAGAATTGACAAGGAGTACACAAATAGTTTCTTTCAAATTGTTGTATTTTATCTTTGAATTACTACAACTTGCGCTTTAATTAATTTGTCATGAAAACATGATGGATCTGATAAAACAATTTTTTATGATACAATTATTGAATCTTATTTATTCAACCACGTGTGTGTCTTTAAAAACTAAACAAAAATCCTATCGTTGATATTTGCATTGTCAGGTTTAGATCTCCGTGTAAAAGCTTTGTCTTGTAAACGACAATGATTAATGCTTTATTATTTAAGAGTTGAGTTTTGATAAGGAGATTTAAGTTGAAAAGTGTAATAGATAATATAAGTCTCAATATTGATCAATCTTCCATGAATCATTCAACTTCAATAATGGCAGAATATATTTTCTATTAAGAACTTTTAGGAGTAGAGAGAGAAAGTCAAATTACAAGATGTGATCTTCAAAAATCTTATAATGTACAAGATGTGATCTTCAAAGAATCTTCAGACAACAAATTACAAATTTTCTCTTTGATAAGAAAATTCTGTTGGTAAACTTTTGAAATGATGATCTTCTCATTCAAAAACTCTCAGTCGTTTTAGCACAGGAATAATCTTTCTGTAATTATTTCCAGTCGCACTCCTTTTGAGTCTTTTGCTGACTTGATGTTACTCCTCCTTGATCTTTATAACATACTCCCCCTTTTTATCATTCGGAATAGAACATTTTATTCATTATTTCATACTCCCCCTTATGATGAAATGAGAAACATTACATCATACACAAGAATGAATGAAAATTTCTGGGAAAGCCGTCAATTCATAAAATTATAAGTAGATCTTTTCAAATCCACTTATTTAATCTTTTCAGATTAAGGAAATGGGAAGGTAACAACCAATTTCAACGTATGAAATTGTTTTCAATCTTATAAAAAGATTGGCCTTTGAGTATAACAGATATAATAAGTACAACGGATGTACTGTATATATGAGACTTTTTGATGCTCATCTCACCAAGTCTTCCATTCAATCATCGATAGCTTAAAATTAGCATATCTATGAATGTTTTGGCAAAATAACATATAAAATGCAAAATCTGTGTAGTATAGAAAGATAAAGCAACGAATGCTTATGTTTAGGCTCAAAAAGATAAATCGTGTGGACTACACAAATTTATCAGAATCAATTAGTGATCAAAAAGACTTGATGGGGGGACATATATCCTTCTGATTCACTATCAACTTTCTCCGAATGAGAAATTGATAGATGATGAGCTGCGTGCCCCAAGTGTTATTGAAACACTTATCTGTTGAGAGATAAATGAGTAGCTGTAACATCCCTAAACCATACATTGCATGTAACACATATTTCATACAAAAGAAACACATAATATTATCYCATTCAGGTCCCTTAGTACAAGAATCTAATATGACCAAATACAAGGTCCAAAAATTCTAATACATCACTTGTACTAATCAATCAAAACTATACATCAAAGCAGATCTTCAAGTAGAAATTCATATAGGAAAATATTAAATCTTCCTCTTTCCCTTACCATCTGTACCTCCGGCAACACATAGTTAAAATCACAAAACGAGGGTTAGACCGAAAGGTCTAGTGAGATACCCTATTTATGTTATTGCAGGGTGTAAATCACCAAAATCTTTATGAAAAACAATTATTCATATATATACAAATATATGAACAAATAGGAACATAAATTCATTTATCAAACAAAGCATTCAGCTACACAAATCTTATACCTCTGAACCAATCAGGGCTCATAAAATGCCATTTTTAAACCTTCTCAAATTAAATAAGGTTTATATAAA